CTCAGGGCAGAGGTGTAGTCTGGGTTCAAGGAGTGTTAGCTGATGGTAGACAGTGTCATAGGTAGGGTTCCTAGATCCTTCCTGGCCTCCAGTAGAGCCAAAACCTTCTTCCAAGGTAGTGAGACAGGATACAGGGCCCAGAGGTGGAGGTGCAGTCTGTGGCTGATGGACAATTTTCAAGTGGATGGTAAGTAGTGTCTTCCCTGGGGTCTCTAGGATCACTCTGGCCATTGGTACAGCTGCCAGGCTGTGTGCCCTTGTGTGGAGCCCAGGAGAGGGAGCACAGTCTGTCTTTTTGCAATCTTAATTGCAAATTAAATAATATCTTCTACATAATACAAACATATATGTGACATCCTAGGTAGGTGTCTAAATATGAAAGTATAACACAATAATTTTGTGAGGAAAAAATAAATTATGTTATTTTGAAGCCAAGTCATTAATATAACTACTGACTGGACAATTGTCACACAACTGCCCTCATATCTATTCAGCATTGTGTAAAATGAAATAAATTATTCACAGAAGATGTAAAGGAATATTCTATACATTGACCATACAGACATGACAAAGCTGAGTGGTTAAAATGTACAGATTATATAAATTTTATCTTAAACACATACAGAATAATAGTATGGAAAAGTAGGGAATATTTAGACAATAACAGAGCACAGATAATATAACACAGAGATGATAAAAATGGGGAAAATAAATTTAAAAACCTAAATAAAAAAATCTCAAAATAATTTAATTACTGGGATATAAGCAAGACTCCTCAAATTATTGTCCACTCCCATTTGATTTTACTTCATTTGTGGTTCTAAGACCATTGTTTTGTTTTTGCCTATGACATATCTGTTATTGTCTATGACATATAGAATTAAATATGGGTGTTAGCTTTGATAATAGTGAAAAAAGAAGAAATAATAAATATAAGAATATAGCCTTGTAGACTGAGATTTCTAAAGTAACTCATAATGAATTAGTGTAAACAAAGATGAATATAAAACATGCATAATGCATGTTTCTCAAAGGTGAACATGTGAACTGATACATAGACCAGCAATATATACCAGGAGCACACACACACACTAGGAACTTAGGAATGTCAATGAGGCGTCATTTAACAAGAGCTGTAAGATAATATGTTCACAGTATGTTTTAAAGTCCAGACAAACACGGCCTTTCTTAATGGCACTCTGAGACTACACAAAGTTTCTTTGAACTATCACATTTTAAAGTCCTCCAAATCTTGCATCCTGTTCTACAAAGGGAAACAACATAAGCAAACTAAGTCAGTTAGCTGTATAACAGTTAAACTAATAATCCCTAAATAGGCGTTGATTGGATTCTGTGATTTCTGGGAGCATTTACACAGAGAATCATAGTGTAACTATCATATAAATATAAATATATATATACACATTTGAAATTCACAGGGAACCAGAATGCATCAAACGTTAAGCAATGTGGATCCTGAAAGACTTTAGACTTTTCTGCAGATGTGATTCTAACAAAGTCAGGGGGACATCAGCGTTCTCTTGGAGAAATGGATATGAGCTGATGTCAGGTTAAGCTGTCTCCATGGTCATTTCTAAAAGCCTTCCTGATATACAGTCTCACTAGTTTTCTTTTTGTTAAATATTTTATTTTATTACTTAAAAAATACCAATGCAAATTCCCACTCCTTCCCCTCCTCCTACTCCCTCTCCTCCTAAAGTTTATTTATTTTTTATCATTTTGTTTGATATAATTTTACGCAACAGCATTTGACCTTTTTTGGAATCCAGCCTCAATAACACAGTATGAGTGTGGTAAGAGTAGGCACTATTTGCTTTCTTAACATTTAGAATAATATTTTCTTAATAATTCAAGCTCTGTATATATAATACAAATTTCAAATTAGTTTTGTTTTTACTTCTTGGGATTGTGTAAGGATATGTCTTTTAAAATGTTGTGATTATACTAAGAATAAACTCTTAAAAGAGCAGTCTATCATCTTCCCTCCGCAGCTTCTGTGTTGCTAACTGTAGCGCTTTCCACTCGAATGCACCTTAAGAGGTTGGAAATGTTGGGGGAGAAGGGAAATAAAAGGAAATTATTGTCTGAGAATATTTATTATGTCAACAATGCAGCTTAATCGTCTTTAACGGAACACAATTAGACATTGGAATTTCTCAAAACAAGAAATGTTTCGGGCAGTGGGAACTGCTACAGATAATTGTAAATAATCTGAGAATAATTAGTCTGAATAAATGGCTGAGAACAATATAGAGAGTTTTCAGTTTGAGAAAAATTTATTTGCCCTTCACATTAATCCTCTACTTAAGGATATTAGAAAATGTAATTTAAAACAGATTCTGAAAAGAATCCCAGTAATTATTGTATTTGTCAAATAAATGGATGAAGTAGTGATGGAAATAAAGTAATAGCCCCCTAAAGAATAAAATGTTTTCCCTCTTAATTTTCAATTATCCTTAAATAGCACAGTTTTACATATTTACAATTCATATTTAATTTATAGCTCTAATCATTATTTTTCTTGGTTTCTGCACATTTGATTCTCTCCCTTCCTCCACCCTCTCCCCCTTGCTCCCCAGTTCTCTCTCATACTAATGTTTCTTAAAGGAGACTGGGATGGGAGGCTCCAGTGAAGTGGAAAATCCTGTTCACGTAGCATGTCATCAGATTTTTGGCTTTGTATAAGCTTTCAGAAAACCACAAAAGATTCCACTCCCCCCTCATAATTAGCAATTTAAAGGTAATCTTGAGTCACTATAGAGAGGTGGTTTCTAGAGGATTCCAGGCAGCATCGTTCGTGGATTAATATATACAGTAGAACTCTCTGTCAATTGCCAAACCACAAGCAGTTCATAAAGTGACAGGGAATTGAAAAAGGAACTACTACCACGTAATCGCACATTCTAATTACTTTTTATAGGAATATTAGGTCAAGGGCCCAAAGAAATGTTAGCTTAAGAAAGCAGTCCATTTAAGGTTCATGTCCAAATACAGTTCTGATAACATGTCAACCAGAGAAAAAATATTTATCATCAATCCATAATATCAAAGATAAAAAGTATAGACATCTTCTAAAAACATTTTGTTTTAAATGAAGATAATATAGGCAATGAAATTGCAATAACTTTCAGAGTCAGTGTTATGGTTTAGATTCAAAATGTTGGTCACAAGCCCATGCCTTCAAAGATCTGGTCTTCAGAGGCAGCACGGTTTTGGGAGGATGTACATCTTTAGGAAGTAGTGATTTGGTAAAGGAAATGGGCCACTGGAGTTGGGTCTTGTGTTTTATGTCCTGGTTCAATTTCCTGCCCCATCTCTGCTTGGGAGTTCACTAAGGGTAAGTTACTGCTGTCCAGATGTGTATGAGCCCATTACTGAGAGCACCATGATGACTCACTCACAGCTGCAGGCTGGTCCTGCTGCAGTTCCCTTTCTGCTGTTCACCTCAGAAGGTGCTGCTTCATCACCTCAGAACTCAGCCAAAATGTCAAAATAAAACCTTCTGCTCCTTCTGTGTTTTCTTGGGTTTCTTGGGTTTTTTTTTTTTTTTTTTTTTTTGCCTTTTTAAAAACTGTAGCAAGGCTGACAATGAGGGCTGACTGAGAAGCCAAGGACAATGTCACTGGGTTTAGATTCTACTGCATGTATTGGCTTGTGGACCTGGACCTGGATAGAGGGGGGAGGACCTTGGACTTCCCACAGGGCAGGGAACCCTGACTGCTATTTGGACTGGAGAGGGAGGGGGAGGGGAAGTGGGGGGAGTGGGAGTGAAATGGGAGGAGGTGGAAATTTTAAATAAAATTTTTTTTAAAAATGTAGCAAAAATGTTGGCATTCTTTTCGAATTTCAAAATTATTTAATTTTAAATAAACACGTGTAACATTATACATTTACATGTAATTTTTAATTCAAATGGCTAGTGCAAAACTTCAGTTACATATACCATAATAATATGCATTAAAAATAATAACACCAAGTAAGAAAGCAGCCTCTGCTTCCCGTCTAGGCAGCACACTAGAGCTGATCCTGTTGTCGAGGACGCAGGTGAGTCAGCCAGAGGTCTTGAGAGCAGGAGAGCTAACCCTGCTGTTCCCCCATAGCCAATACAGCAATACAGAGAGAGGGTACTACATAGGGCAAAACAGTAGAACTGGCCCTGGTGATGTGAATGTGTGGTGATTTGGTGGTGGTGGTGGGAAATCTGAGGGCCCGGGGGCAGAACTGGTCCTGATCCTTGTTGCAGGCTACAGTAAGTGAGCTTGCCAAGGCAGTGCTAGATAGCTCACCCACATAGAGATGAGAAGGGAAATCGAACGAGTTGACCAATCCAGCTACCACGCAGGCCTAGAACCAGTTGGCCCACCCTAACATCCACTGAATCTATGATGTTGGAGCATGTGAAGGCAACAAACCTTAAGACGCAAAACAACAGGATCTCCATGACACAAACAGACAGCAAGTGGATATTCAACAGGAGCCTCAGTGAAAGCCTGCTATATGTGGTGCAGCCGAAGCCACAGGGCTCCAACCAGACCAATGACTCACGGCAACGAACACTTGAAAGCAAACACAAACAGACTAAAGGGTAAATTATGTGTCTCAATGGAAACCACTACAGCTTCCTGAAAAGATTTCTTCTTCTTCTTCTTCTTCTTCTTCTTCTTCTTCTTCTTCTTCTTCTTCTTCTTCTTCTTCTTCTTCTTCTCCTTCTCCTTCTCCTTCTCCCTCTCCCTCTCCCTCTCCCTCCCCCTCCCCCTCCCCCTTTCTCTTTCTTTCTTAATTTGGTTTTCAGTTTTTCTTTTAAATTTGGTTTTGCTTTGTGGGGGAAGTTTGCCAGGGCAGGGGGTGGATGCCAGGGGATAGAGATAAGTGGGATCAGAATCCATGATGTGAAATGTGTAAAGAATCAATAAAAGTTAAAAACAATAATAACGCAAAATAACCAAAGTAACAAACACACTTGACGTGTTCACACTTACTTAGCGTGACGGATATCTGGCAGAGACCTCTCTAAAGCAATTTTGTTGCTGACAAAAATATTGAAGCCGTTTTCCCTGTAAGCTGAGTCATCCTGGTATTCTTCAGTAAGGGGGTATGGTTTTCCATGTTCACCTTTCCCTACAGAGGAAAAAGAAAAGGTTTTCATCTGATAAAACCTATTTCATATTCTAGAAGAGATATTCATAAATAAATGATGTATAATAAAAATGTGCAATTTATACACACTGGCATATTTTTTAGCCTTGAAGAAATATTGAAAAAATGACATATTCAGAAAAATGTTTAACTGAAAGCTATTATATTAGGCAAACAAATTAACACCCTAAAAGACCAATACTTAGTTTTGTCTCATATATAGGTGTCAGATTTTGATTTTTATAAGTCTGAAAGAACACCGGCAGGTTCACATATGCAGGTATGTACATGAAGATGCTGGGGATAGCCATCACATGTTGCTGCTTTGCTTTACACACCAATGCAAGTTTTCTAGCAGAACTTACCCCAAACCTCAATACAGCACATGCATATGCCTCTGCATGCAAGCTTGAACTTACTTGCAAGCAAACACCATACTTAGATGTGCATCACAAACATATGTATTTGCAAAACGTATTGGTATTTGTCTCCTGGCTAAAATGACATTAATAGAACTGTCTTGAAGATTAATTTTGGAGGTCTATTGATTGTGTACTATTTGCACCATTCGGTATGGAAATTGAAAATGTACATAGTTTTTTGACAGACCTGCAAAAGCTGGGAGTATGCTATGATTAGGAAGGTAAGGGCAAATTTATTAAATGGCTGCTTCAAGAACAAAACTTGGCATGTGTACAGTTAAATACACTAAAAACAAACAAACAAAATTCAGTGGGCTAAAGAAGCTAGTGTAGGCTAACTAGGGAAGGAGGATTGTAGCTCAAGTTTCCTCAATAGAAGAGGATGTGAGCCATTTTTAAAGAGCTAGGGCCGGAGGCACTTTACATAAGAAGAAACTGGGATAATTGAATTGTGAAAACCCAAAATTGAAATGCAGTGCTGAGCAAATATTTAATAAATCTATTTTACAAGACAGAGATCTGTTAACATTGAATACTGAGAATAAAAGAGACTTAGGTCAGAAGAAGGATTCTATGACACTTTAAGTTATTCAGACTCTTCCTTCTGAGCAAGTAGCACGAGGTTAATATTAGAATCAGGGAGGATATGCAACTGGGAAACTCAAACATACTTGAATCAGAATCTTTTTTATTGATTTTTATTAAGCTCTACATTTTTCTCTGATCCCCTCCCTGCCTCTCCCCTCCCTTTCAACCCTCTCCCTAGGTCCCCATGCTCCCGATTTACTTAGGAGATATTGTCTTTTTCTACTTCCCATGTAGATTAGATTCATATATGTCTCTTTTAGGGTCCTCATTGTTGTCTAGGTTCTCTGTGATTGTGATTTGTGGACTGGTTTTTATGTTTAAAAAACACTTATGACTGAGTACAACCAGAACCCGGAAACAATCTATGTGTGCTTCTCCTCAAGAATCGATAAGGAAAATGTGGTACATTTACACAATGGCGTACTACATAGGACTAAAAATAACAACATCTTGGATTTTGCAGGAAAATGGATAGAGCTAGAAAACATCCTTGAATCTTGGTGCCATCATACTGTATTCATATGTAGAGAACTTTTATTATCACTCCAACATAGACAGGAATCTCAAATATCATATGCAGACTCTTTTTTTCCAACTTTTCTCTTGATTTTTTTCTTTTTCTTTTCCTTGTTCTTCACTGACCCTTCTTTCCCTCCTTCCTGCTGTTCCTTCTTTTTCTTTTCCCCCTTCCTAATCCCTGCCTTTCTTCCTCAACCTCTGCTCTCTATTCCTCTCTTTCATATGCACACCAACCCTTCTCATTCCTCGTCCCTTTTTAAAAAGACAGTCTTGTCATATAAACCTGGAAATTCCTATGTAGACCAGGCAAACTCAAACCTTGTGGTGATCCTTTTGTGTCTGTCTTATAATTGCCGGGATTTCAAGATTGTGAAAATCTTTAGAAACATCTGCTTTCTTTAACATATAATTATGGTGAATTAATGTTTTACTACTTCATGACTGTCTTTCAGTGGATATATACACTATGTAAAAGCAAAAAATGTTCAACATAATGTCACCAACTTCTAAAAGGTGATTATGACAGAGTAGGTACCAATCCATATTATTTGGGGAGTAAGCAAAAGAAGAGGTGCTGATAATTTGGTATCTATTTACTAAAGGAAATAAAGTCATTTATTTTCTTGAAAGCAAATATCGACCACTTTATCTCAGAAAGAGTTTGAGGATTAAATGATGATTATCAGAGTTACTATTTTAACATTAAAATTTAAGAGAAAAGTTAAAAAATAGGATATTGGAATTAAAGAGAAGTATAACAATCTTTAAGGCAACTCAGGTCTGGGAACGTGTTTTGGGTGCAGAATCTAGCTCACTGAGTGGTGCTTTTGCTCTCTGTAATTTCAGTAGAAAGCTCTTTATATACATTCACTTCCAGTTGTCCCTTTATATATTATGGACACCTGGGATGTGTGGAGTACCAATATGATAAAGTGTTTAAGTGAGAGTTTTTTTCTATTATTATTATAAAGTAGAAAGTTTTTACCGTGCTGTCTAGTCTGTCCTCAAACCCCTGTGCTTGTGTGTTTTCCCTTTTTAGTCTTATGGAGGGGTGTATATACATACATACATACATACACGCATATACAGTTTCTTCAATTCACCGAACGCTGAATACCTATATCTAAGCATCTAAGCACTTAGCTATATCACGTGTAAAATGGATAAGCAATTCTCATCATGCTCATTCACAGCAGGTGAGCAGTCTGCTTAGGTGGAATTCCTATTTCATGCCTCATTCACAGGCTTGACTGTATCTTCTTGGAAGTAACCACTGAAGATTGATTTTACAAAAACTTCAGATTGAATATGAATATCAATAAAACATGGTCACAAGATATTATATTCCTCTTTGGGGGAACCTAGTAAGTCATTCTATTTCAGATCTGTCAGTAGATTGACACTAAATTTGCTTTAAATGTTCTTCATTAGTTTTTTATTTGAATAAGCAACAGATTTGTTTGAAGATGTCAGAGAGGGTTGTGTTTTTTCCTTTTTTCAAGCCAAACTGTCTCATCATACTGGTTGTTCCTTTCCTAAAACATATTATAGTCAAATCTCATAAACTATACATTTTCTTACCTTGGTAGTATAAATAAAAGTTATTGAGTATGTGCATATTGAAACTAAACACTGGTTACTTAATGTGTACTTATGAAAGTTGGAAGTTTATCACTACAGTATTTGTCAAAATTGGTGTATATGCACGTAGAAACCAACAGAAAAAGTTGTGAAGTAACGCTATAAAGTTTCTTTCATTGTCTTTGTGTGTATCCTCCATTGTAGTATTTTTATTGCAGCCCTTTCAATTACATCCTTGGACAGTTTTTGCAGCCTCAAATCGTCATTGCATTTGCTAGGACATGATTTAACAGAATTGAGGTCCTTTTTGTATGATTGTTTGTTTTGTGTTTTGTGTTTTGCTGTTTCTCTCTACTTCTCTGGCTGTTTTGGTGTCCTGAAACTCACTCTGTAGACCAGGCTGGCTTCAGACTCAAAGATCTGCCTGTTGCAGACTCTGTGCTAGGATTAAGGGCATGTGCTACCACCGCCCAGACTGGGTTCTTTTTTATTACAGCTTTGGAGAAAGGCTGGTGGAGAACAATATGAATGACTTTTCATGTTTTGTGTCTGGGTAAGTGTGGTATGTCCTAAAATTTGTACTTACACAGTTATTGAATCCTTGCTAATCATATGACTTCAGAGTGTGTGGAAATTTGCTACACAAATCAATGCATAATTCCTGCTATACATAAAATTCTCAGTGAGGTTATGAATCTGCAGTACTAGATCAACAAAAGGAAAAAAATGTCAAGAATAACATGGCTTTACATACATGGCTTCTTGAGTATATTTCTAATATTTGTATTGAAATATTTCAGTGTTATGAACTAAGTGTTGCTGAGGTGAGGAGCCATATTTAAAACAAAGAAACATAACAATTACTTTTTCCTTATTATATTTCTATTTATAAACTATATTATATTTTCTCTGGAAAATGTCGTTCTTTATCTGTAAAGTAGACATTTTGATTATTAGATTTTGTTGGTAAAATAGACATAAAATATGAAAATAGTAATTGTCTCTAAGTTGATAGCTATTTGATATTCTTCTAAGCTTTATGGAGTACCAGCCATTGAAAATCCTTAAATATATTTGGAATAATTAAAGTTTTGTTTTATTTGTTGTGAGTACATGACAAATTTTGTTATACCATTTTTCTCTCTGGTAGTGTAGTGGGTAGATATTTTCTTCCAGTTTTGGACAATGTAAATTAGAAAAAACTCATTGAAATTACTCTATTCAGTTAAAGCAATCTAAAAGCAGAGATAAGAGAGAAAGCCCCCAATAGCTGCATCATCATAAAGAGTCAAGTAGAAAAATACTTTTTAAAAAAATAATAAAATAAAATAAATGTTAGAAAGGGAGTTCATTATTTTCCAGAAGGATTTTGGTGAATAAAGCAAGTTTCTACTATTAATCAATTATCAATATCCTATGAGAAAGAAGATGAGTTACAGGGGAAGGATGAGCCAAAACTAGGAATGTATAAAAATGTCACATGAAAACCCACTTTTATAAACTTATTAAAGAGAATTTAAAATAGACCTCAAATGGAAGCATTCTACATGGGTGGATGTTGATCCTAGACATCATGAATCACTAAAAACAAAACTGTATTGTCAGATATGTGGAAACTTCACAAGAGCTGTTGATCGGAAAGGCTTCAGAGGGCTCCTACACTATGCAGGTTACGATAATTAACCTTTATTACCCACATACTAGATGGGAAGACCCTATTGCTGATGCCATTGTGTACCTTGATTGCAAAACATAACATATTGACAAGACAGCAAGGCACCATTGCTGAAGACACCATCTACTTAACTAATTGGACATGGATAGTTTAGCTGATGCTTTGACACCCTATATCCTAATGTCTTTGGTACAGAG